AGCAAGCATTTTGATTATAAAACACCACTGGTCCTTTTCCTACCCGTCTCTCTTCATCACAACAGCCTTCCTAACCCCTGCTCTGACCACACCTGAGCCCTACCTGGCCCTGGACATTTATTTATTCTACACACAGAAGGTCCACGAAGTCAAAATCTAGTCCCATGCCAGGGTTTGTAGTATCCACTTCCAATGCCTAGAAAAGCACAGGTCATTGAGCTTAAAGCACATATAATTGGAAAGCCAGACTTGAATTGGTTAGCTTCTATCTGCATCACTTCTGACAAAGCACATGTGCTCTCTGTGCCTCCTTCACCTATAAAGTAGCTATGGTTGTGTTACCAACCTTGTAACATGGCTGTATCAGCTCGTTTCAACTCCCAGTTCTAAGAAGGTTAATGGAGAGCCTAGCATATATCATACCTCTGCTCACTCTCACCACTATTGTCCCTCCAGTCCATCCATGCCCTGGCCCTATGTAACGGCCTACCCTATGTAATGGCCTGACCCTATGGGACAGCCAGACCCTGTGTAATGGCCTGACCCTACGTGTTGGCCTGACCCTGTGGGACAGCCAGACTCTATGTAACGGCCTGGAACTTTCCGTTGCCTTGTTTGTTTTACTTCTTTAGTTATATATAGTATGGGAGCAAATTTTGTGTATTCAATGTGTACAGTTTTAACAGCATAAAGACACTTCCGATCATACTGTCCCCCCTGCCCATCTGGACCTCTTGAATGCTTACTTACACCTGTGCTGTGTCACAACTCAGGACCCTAGGGAACTTGGCTGACCCTGGAGACTGCTGCTCACTGCCTTGCTCTGTGGCCATAAGTTTCAACCTGCCAGCAAACGTTGGGCCCATCCACGTGGCCGTGCTCTCCTGCTCGGTCCCTTACACTGACAATAGCCTAATCATGACTGAGAGTGTTTGTAAAATGAGAATAATAGACTGCAAGTTGAGCAAAAAAAAATAACAAATATTTTGATTTCCTCTGGGCAAGGTGCCTGAATGAGAAGTGAGGCCTATTTAATCAGCCTCCTGGGGAGAATTTCAACCATAAACACAGTACACATCCAAAATAATAATAATAATAATAACCCGAAAACTCTTCAGAGCCACTCCACAAATGGAAACTCCACAATGAAAGCTCCACAAATGGAAACACAATTCAAGGCTCTGAGTCCCTCGAGGTCTGGCACTCAGCACCAGGAGTCCCAGAGGAAGACGGCGTGGACACAGCTTCACCTGCTCCGTCACAACCGACGTGAGCTACAGAAGTCGGACCCCTTTTCCTGTCTTTCAGTGTCTCCCGCCTCCTTCTCACCACCTGAATCATGAATCTGAGCCAAGAGAGACTGAGCAGAAAAGAAGTGGCCTTGAGTCCACCAGCAAAGACTCTCTTCTCTTTGCTGCAGGAATGACAGCCTCGAGACAATGTTTGCTTAGGGACTCCGAGCTCACATTAAGCAGGCCCTTCTTGCATGGCAAATGACAACTGAGTTTCAGACCTGGGCTAATGGGATTCAATGACTCCCATGAAAGGCACGGAGTTTATGCTTCAGACCTGCCCAGTCCACCAGGGCTGTACCTGGACCCTGGGCTGCAGCTTCCCTGTGCGGGCTGTGTGCTCAGGGGGCCTCCCCTTCCCCTTGCTGACCTCCACTGTGACCACCTGGACAGGGCTTCCATTGGCTTGACTTTGCCTCCGCAAAGAGCACTTGGCCCATCGCTGTGGCCAGATGGCTGGGATGCTGTAGAGCATTGCTGCCAGGAGAACTTTCTAGACAGGTAGACACTCCCACATCTGCCCTGTCCAATAGAAATACCACTAGACTCATGTGCCTCATGAGCATTCGAAATAGGGCTTCTGTGGTTCAGGATCTGAGTCTGAATTTGATTTAGCATTCATATAAATGTAAACAAACTAAGAAGAAAATGTGCATTCTCCCGTGGCAGATGCTGCCCTGCTTTTTGTCTTGATTTTACCAGGATGATTGTTTTTCCACTCTGAATTCCGATTGTCCATGTTGCTCAACATCTCTCCATCTCAAGGGTTCCTAAAGCATTTAGCATTGTCTTCTATTTCACACACACCACACGCACTCACACACTGGCTGGTGGGTGGACCGAACACGCATCCATTTGGAATCTGAGTGTGTGTGTGTGTGTGTGTGTGTGTGTGTGTGTGTGTGTCTGCAGGGGCAAGGGACAAGCTCAGTATCTTCCACGTTCATTTGACTAACAGGCATAAACAAATCTAATATGAAGCTAGTGTTAAACCATTCCCAGGGACCCATTACCATACCTGCTAAATCCTACCTTTCACATTGGCCAGCTTAGAACATCTCTCCCCACCTTCCCTGCAGTGGGGTGCTCCTGGCCTCACTCCCACACACTCCCCACTTTCCCTGCAGTGGGGTGCTCCTGGCCTCTCACACACTCCCCACTTTCCCTGCAGTGGGGTGCTCCTGGCCTCTCACACACTCCCCACTTTCCCTGCAGTGGGGTGCTCCTGGCCTCTCACACACTCCCCACTTTCCCTGCAGTGGGGTGCTCCTGGCCTCTCACACACTCCCCACTTTCCCTGCAGTGGGGTGCTCCTGGCCTCTCACACACTCCCCACTTTCCCTGCAGTGGGGTGCTCCTGGCCTCCCACACACTCCTCACCTTTCCTGCAGTGGGGTGCTCCTGGCCTCACTCCCACACACTCCTCATCTTTCCTGCAGTGGGGTGCTCCTGGCCTCACTCCCACACACTCTCCAAGCCAGGCTGTCTCAGGTCTCCATTACACTACCCCTCCCTGAGTACCTCTGTCTACTTCTCCACGACCACCTTCCTGTCCAGGCCATTTTGTCTCCCCGGTCTTTGCCATACACTCCATCCTTTGGCTCTTTCCATTCCAATGTGTTCTCGATTCTGCAAACAATTGTCCTAAAATGTAGACCTCCATCTCACTGCTGCCCTACTAAGTGGCCCCTTCCACTCCAGAGCACAGCCCAAACTCCCACATCCACTGACCTGTCCCTCAGGAGCTAAGTGCTGCTTGTCTTTTACGTAAAACCTTTGCCACTTCATTTTTCAAATTGTGTCTCCTAGTTTCACGTTCTGGCCAGAGGGAACTATTTCCTGTGCCTCAGAATCTCCAGGTTTCCTCTCTAGTCTGCCTCAATCCTTGATACCCAACCATTTCAGCTGTTAAACATCAAACACTTGGAACATGTCTTACCACCCCGACTCCCCAGTGATTCTCATTCAGCAGAATGAGATGAGAATGCTGGCAGGGGCGGAGAGGGTGCTGGCAGGACGACCCACGCCCACAGGCCAGGATGCTCTGTGCTTCCAGGTTGCAGACACATTAATTCCCTCTGCCAGGAGCCTTGACCCTACCCCCCCACTGCATTCCTACAGGTGTCAGCACTTCTTCCTCTTCCTCAAGATCAGGCCAGACGCCCCTTCCCCTCCAGGTGAGATTCCCCTGCTGCCTCCCCAGGCGTGGCTCTTCCTGGTTGCCTCACTCCTCACACCCTGTGATGTAAACTGTGGGATGTAGATGAGGCAGTGGCAGGGACAGCAAGCAAGGAATCCAGTTTTGAAAGGAATTTCTGCTGTGAGTGATAATGCTATCCAACAGCTTCTCAAGGTACAAAGACACCTTCATGCTGGGACGAGGCGCTAGCCTTGCAGAGGGTCAGCTAAACCTGCCACGTGCAAAATGGCATCACATGTGGGTACCAGCTGGAATCCCAGATCCTCCACTTCCAATCCCTCTCCCTGATAGTGGCCTGGGAAATACAACGGAGGATAGCCTAAATGTTGGGGCTCCTGTCACCCACAAGAGATACCTGGAGGAATCTCCTGGCTCCAGCATGACCCCAACCCCTCCATTACAACCATCGGGGGATTGACCAGCAAATGGGAGATCTGTCTGTTTCTCCCTCTTTCTCTGTAACTCAGTCTTTCTAACAAAATAAGGCAAATCTTAGAAAGAAGGAAGAAAAAAGCAAGCAAGCAGTGAGAACGACCTCATTGGGAAGTTCCCCAAACCACCCAGCCTTCAACAGTCAGCCTGACCGGCCAGCACCCACCAACATCAAGGAAAGACCTGCATGGCAAAGCATTATGCCTCAATGGCATAAGTGACTGTCAGCCTTTCTGAACAGCTTTTTTTTTCAATACAACGTATAAATCTTTAGACATAATTCTATTGTATACTTCATAGAAAATACTATAGGGGAAACAGAACCTTGATATGGACTGGGAAACCAAAACCTCCATGTGACTCTCTCTATTGCCTCAGTCCCTTCACTGCAGTTTCACTGAAGTTTGCCTCTGCCTGATTTCTCTTTTCCCAAGTTCAGAAAAGACCAGTAATAGAGCAACGACCTTGTTTACGCCTGTATTCCCTGCACCCAGAAGAGATCTGACACATAGTAGGTGCTCAGTCAGTGTCTATTGAAGCGAACAACACACAAACAAATGAATGGAGGAACAGATGGCCTGCTGTCCCCAGGCAAATACCAACCGCTCAGCTGTACCGATGCGCAGTGGACCGATCTGGCCTGCAGGGGGCACCAGGCTGCTTCTCAGTCTCCCCGCAGAAGCTAGGAAGCTGGGGACCTGCTGTCAGTCAGAGGGGTGCCCGAAGCTCAGTGGTCATTTCGCTGCACTAAAGATTAAGTAGGAGTTGTTCACCCTCGGTCGATGTATAAAACCCGAGTGTTCTCCCCCTCCCTGCCAGTGGCAAGCACAGCATCTCTCTCTTGCTATGGAAGGAACGGTAGCTGTAGCAACCGGTGACAGGTGGGGACGCGAGCAGAGCGCCAGGGGCTGCGAGGGACAAAGACGACAGCTGATCCGAGTCTGTTCAGCTGCTCCTCCTGGGGCACAGGAGAGCTTCCCACGTGTCTCCAAGTGACTAATTTTCTCTTCCTCTCTCCCAAATCTTTCCAGCCCCTTTTAGTCTGGAAAACAAACTCCAACTCTAGACTCGACAAACATCCAAAAGAAGTATCTGGCAGGAGATTTCTCCCTTTCCTGCAAGTAGCAGCCTCCAGACCCGGCTCGGAGCAGCTGGTCTTTAGCAATGAACGCTTCGTGCTGCCTGCGCTCTGCTCACCTGACACTAGCTAACAGCTCAGAGCACCGGACGGCCCCTTTCTCCAGCAACCAGAGTGGTGGCAGCAGCGGCAGCAGGTTCTGTGAACAGGTCTTCATCAAGCCGGAGGTCTTCCTGGCTCTGGGCGTCCTCAGCCTGCTGGAAAACATCCTGGTGATCCTGGCCGTGGTCCACAACGGCAACCTGCACTCACCCATGTACTTCTTCCTCTGCAGCCTGGCCGCGGCCGACATGCTGGTGAGTGTGTCCAATGCCCTGGAGACTGTCATGATCGCCGTGGTCAACAGCAACTCCCTGACCTTCGAGGACCAGGTCATCCAACACCTGGACAACGTCTTTGACTCCATGATCTGCATCTCCCTCATGGCCTCCATCTGCAACCTCCTGGCCATCGCCGTGGACAGGTATGTCACCATCTTCTACGCGCTCCGCTACCACAGCATCATGACCACGAGGAAGGCCCTCGCCCTGATCGCGGGCATCTGGGCGGGCTGCAGCGTCTGCGGCGTCGTGTTCATCGTCTACTCCGACAGCAAGATGGTCATCGTGTGCCTCATCACCATGTTCTTCGCCATGCTGCTCCTCATGGGCACTCTGTACGTGCACATGTTCCTCTTCGCCCGGCTGCACGTCAAGCGCATCGCGGCCCTGCCGCCCGCCGACGGGGCGGCCCCGCAGCAACACACGTGCATGAAGGGGGCGGTCACCATCACCATCCTGCTGGGCGTCTTCGTCTTCTGCTGGGCCCCCTTCTTCCTGCACCTGGTGCTCATCATCACGTGCCCCGCCAACCCTTACTGCATCTGCTACACGGCACACTTCAACACCTACCTGGTCCTCATCATGTGCAACTCTGTCATCGACCCCCTCATCTACGCCTTCCGCAGCCTGGAGCTGCGCAACACCTTCAAGGAGATCCTGTGCGGCTGCAGCAGCTTGAGCCTGGGCTAGGGTGCAGGCAGCCAGCAGCGGGGGCTCTCTGACCCTCCCACCGGCCAAGGTGTGCAGAAAGGAAGATGTGAATGATGGAAGCACAGCTGTGCCTGCGTGTATCCGACTGAAAAGCTGACAGAGCCCTTTGCATGGGAAGGGAGGCTCCGAGAGGCTCCGAGAGGCCTCTGATGAGGTAAGTCACACACTCTCGTTTCCCAGACAGATGCTGCAGGTGAGTCAGTGAAAGCTGCCTGGGTGCCATCCTCATGTGGCCCCCCAACCGGAGCCTGGGTGCTGCCCGCCCACCTGCCACCTGCCCCCATGTTCCTGTCTTCATGCTTCAAGTCAGACTGACCAAAGGATTCTCATGAGCTGCACAGGTGGCTCAAAGCCTCCAGCCCCCGGCAGCTAGCACCACAGAGAGCTTTGCACTCGCTCCATAGGAGCCTGTGACTCTGGTCTGTCCATCCGTGAAAGGGAAGCAATCCTCTTGAAACGAGCAACCCTTTGTAGAGGCTGCCATACTATGCTGATCTCCTCACGGGTACCCCAATACCCCCACCAGCATGCCACACTATTCTCCTCACGGGTACCCCAACATGCCCACCAGCATGCCACGCTATGCTGTTCTCCTCACGGGTACCCCAACATGCCCACCAGCATGCCCATGAAACTCACTTCTACGCTGCTGCTGCTGCTCCAGGAGTCTTGCATTCAAGCTAAAGGTAGCCTTCACAATTCTAACAAAAGAGAGAATGCTTTGGGTTACCAGAATATGTCTGCGTTCTTGTATTTTGAGACCTTGCTATTTTAACATGAAACCCACTCTAATTGTATTACTGAAGTGTTGTTTCCATTATTCCTTCTCTGCCTTTAAAACAAGAGGGAGAACTGTGGGTGACAGGATCCTGAGAAACTGCTTTAGTGTCATGTCACAGAGTCTGAAGAACGGTGAGATGACTGCGGCATCCCCAGAGTTTACTCACTCTGAACAATCGTGTCATTGCCACACTGTCTGTAAACGAGGGTGGCCTGTGGCTCTCCACTCCTCTTGTGCAACTCGGTGTTTGAGCCTGTGGCTCGGACGCCTCTGCCCGGTCACATGGCACGGTCCACTCGTGGCAGCACAGCTCCTGCCTCACCCAGGTAACCGCAGTATCTAACTGCTGGATTCCCCCTCCCCACTCCTCCTGGATGCCCCTTGGATGCCCCTTGGATGCCCCTGCATGTTATGCTCCGTCCTTAGTGGGCAGCTGTATGCCTTTCCATATTATATTGTGGCTTGTTTGTATTTGGAAATTCTTCTGCTAATATATAAGCAAAACTGCGTGTTTCCTGCTTTGACTGTAAGATTTAGAAATTAAAGAAAAGGCTTCTGTGGCTGCTGCACTTGTGTGAGCCTGACGTGGGGCTCTGCCATGGGCCAGTGGGCAGTGCCCTGCCGTTCAGGTGCTGCTCTCAGTGGGATGGCAGCCACAAGTCACAGGAACTGTGTTCCAGGGCAGTGTGTCTCAGCCAAAACACGACACCCTCCCGTCTCACCTCCCAAAAGACCAGGCCTGTGGCTCCTGGACCAGTCATCAACTAACAGGATGTGTCTGGCTCCACTCATTAAGTCAATGTGGAAAACAGGGCAGCCAGAACCTTTCAGAGTTACGGTAACAGCCACAGGAATTCTGACGTCCTTTTACCACATAAACAAGGTAAAAATAACTGACTCTGCTCTAGTTCATATCAGTTTTTACATTGCTTCATTTTGTCCAGTCAGCAGATATCTAAAATAGGTGAATCATTTTCACAGTAATTTCATCCTGGGAAGTGTGTGTGGGGGGGGGTGTCACTGTCCAGGACCACCCAACTGGGGGGCGCACAGGACAGCCTGACCCAAGGCCGACTTCCTTCCTCCCACACCAAACATACCGCTAACCACAGCTTCCCTGATCGAAGCAGACCAGCTCCCCTCCCTGCACACTTGAGCTCTCCGTGAGCTGCTATGCTGAGACACCCACAGGATCCCCTGGGAGTCTGCTCAAGTACAAAATCTGACTTGGCAGTCTGACCAAGACAGGGCCCCCGGGGCCGGAGGGCAGCCGCAGACACATTTTCAAGTGTGGGGACACAGCAAGTCCCCGAACAACGTGCAGCCCCAGTCTTCATGCACGCGACCCACACAGTGCCGCGCACTTGGGCATCTGCTGCTTGCAACCCGCCCCAACCATAATCCTCAAGGGAGATGTCAAGTTACCCCTGCTTTGCAGATGAGGCAGCTGAAACTCAGAGGGAGAGGAGCTGTCTGGGGAACTCAACCAGCAAGCAGAGAAGTGGTACTTCAAACTCAGGCTGCCCAACCCACGTTCCTAAGTCCACCCCGTGTCCAGTGTCCTGGGCACTTCTGGTGGAAGCAGAGTGGACAATAGGACCAGTGGTGTGGGAGCGGTGTGCTGCTGAGTGGGGCCTTTCAGTTTCCAGAAAGCTGGCATGAAAACCAACGGGTTAAGAGTGCTTTGTCACTCTGCTTTTTCAAGGGAGCTGTGAGTGAACCGGCAGAGTGCTGCAAAGGGACAGATCACAGTCCACAGAAGCCTTTTCCAAGTGTCCACATCTCAGGGATGCTACCCTAACCATCACCCTCCCCTCCGTGACGCTCACATTGTCGCGTGGGAACCCTCACCCCAGGGGACAGCAGCGCCCTTTCCTCTGGATCCTTCCCATCAGGAAGTACCATGGATAAACATCGGTTATCCAAAAACCAGCATACACCTAGAAACTGGGACGAACAAGCCAAAAGAAGCAGAATTAAATGGACAGTGAGGAGCCGGCAGCTAACGCTGAGCGCACCTTCCCTCAGCGTTGTGGACGGAGGATGCTGTGCTAAGTAAAGTAAGCCAGGTGCAGACACCGCCAGATCTCACCCGGTAATCACAGCAGTCAGCCTCACAGATAAGTAGAAAGGAAGTTACCAAGGGATGGGGTGGAAGAGGGGGCATGGCAGGGTGGGAATGTTGCCTTGCTAGTGCCCACAGCCAATGGCGTGCCTGGAAAACAGCCAGCACTCGGACTGCTGCAGGTCAGCCTGTTCGTTCAAGGCACGTCAGTCACGTGATCGGGTTTGTCTCTTCATGGCCACCTCCCCGCACCCTCCAGGAAGGGGTACATGGCTCGCAAAGCTCCCTGCCCCTGCAGACTTCTCCACTAAGGAAGTAACCACATGTTCATTTCTCGGGTTAACTTCTTTCTTTTCTGCTACTGAAATGAGCAAGAAGATGAGGGCACTCACAATCAGAACTGTGAGTGTGGCCCTCTGTCATGGCAGTGTGCGAGATGAGCCCAAAGGTGCCAGAAAGCGGCCACCTCCAAGCCCCGTCCAGTTCTGCCCTGCAGTCACTGAGGCTGCACAGATCCATGTGCAAGTCCCACATCTCCTGTGTGACACACTGTGTGACGGTCGCTAAGGCTACCCTACCTCAGCTGTAAAATGAGGCAAGGAAAACCACTTCTCGGGCCCGGGCAAGGCTAAAGTCTTTGCCTTGCATGTGCCAGGATCCCATATGGGCTCCAGTTCTAATCCCGGCAATCCCGCTTCCCAGCCAGCTCACTGTTGTGGCCTGGGAAAGCAGTCGGTTAAAGCCTTGGGACCCTGCACCCACGTGGGAGATCCAGAAGATGCTCTGGGCTCCTGGCTTCATATCAGCACAGCTGCAGCCATTGCTCCAGAAACTTGCAGAGTGAGTCAACAGACAGATCTTCCTGTCTCTCCTCCTCTCTGTATATCTGACTTTCCAATAAAAATAAAAATAAATAAATCTTAAAAAAAAAAAAACTACTTCTCAGCACAATCCAAGGATGTAAAGCAAGCAAGGGATGGGCATTGGTGCAGGGAAGGTTCCTGTCTCCAATATCAGGGTCTCTGAATTTTAGTCCACATTCTGTTTCTGACCCAGCTTCCTACTAAGGCAGCTCTTGAGGTACAACAGGTAATGGTTCAAGACTCTGGGCTCTGGCTACCCACCTGGAAAGCCCACACTGAGTTCCACGCTCCTGCCCTTTGGTCTCATTCTGACTGCTGTGAGTGCCTGAAGAATGAGGCAGAAAATGGAAAGACTGGTGCACTCATTTCAAGTAAATAAGGCAAACTTCAAAAGTCTGTTCAAAATGAAGAACTCGGAAACTGACACACAACAGGTGCACAAGCAATGTAACCAAACTTGCAGACATGACCCCTGGTGGTCAGAGTTTCTCATCCAGGAATGTCAGCCTCTTCACATGGCACTCGCTGGTTTGGGATGAAATGAAGCAAGCAGGTGAGCTAGTGGCACTGCAGACGCGGTGTGACTCACCAGCAGCCAGTCTACCCGTGAGTCACTCACGCTGAGCTGACCCCATCAGCAGTGAAGCCCAGCAGAAAACTCCAAGCAGAACAAAAACAAGCTACCCTGCATGCAGGGCACACGGCAGAGGGAAAGCAGGTTGGCATAGCACAGCATTACCACTGCTGGGGTCACAGATCTGCGGGGCACTAATTGCAGGAGAATCTGATTTCATCCACAGAACGTGCAGCCCAGGGGAGGGATCTGCTTTGTGTTAAAGCCCCAGTGTCACATTCTGGACATTTGGAATCCCATCCGGATGGGAAAGCCATCAAAGCTGGTGCTGCTGCCCCTCCTGAGCCCTGATTTTCTTCCCTGTAAAATGGGAATAGTAACCCACTTTGGGATAACCGTAGACAACACCAAAGGCACACAGCCCCCTGGGGTACCTGGCCTCCTGGTCGGGACAACACACCATCTTCTGTAACTTACTCCTCAAATGCAGCCAGAGGCCAGGTCCGCCACAAACAGCTGCACAACTGCTCACTTGCAGCAGTGCCCAGGCAGCATGTAAGACCTAACCTTGTCTTCTCCCCCAGGTCCAAGCTTCCAGACCCAGTGCTCAGGTCACGGCAGCAAACACAACAGGCCTGGCTCCAGCAGTGTCCTGGGCAGGTGAGAAGACTGCCCTGGGACACAATGCTTGGCCAG